TTGGTAAACAGAATAGTCAGTCTACCAGATAATTCTAAGGTATGTGAGTCAGCTTTCCTGAATTAGTCCCATGTCTACCTTTCACCAGAATTAGTTTCCTATCTACCCTTCACCAAGTGATCTTGAAAAAGATGCAATCCTATTTAGTGCCTCAGCTTCCTTATCAACAAAACTAGAATATAAAATACATCTCACAGAGAGCTGAGAAGACCTTTTATTTGTGATAAAGGAGTAAGGGCACTAATTTACTGCTATTAGAGAATGAAAAAGTAGTTTGGTTTTTACTATTTGGTATGCAGATGCCTAGTAACCACAAGTAAGAAAAATTCCATTGTACCCAGTACTGTACAAAAACCTAAAAAGAAATTCTGACATTGAACGTTACAGATATGAAAAATTATGGGAGAAACAAAAGCATTTGACAGCATCACAATAAATATCTCAACATTGTAGACCTCATACATGTATTGAACTAGGGTTTTTTGGGTGTGAGGGTGAAGTGTGGTGCAAATAGAAGCTGGGTAGAATTAACATTGTTCTTAATTTCAGAATTGTTATCCAGCAAAAAAACCGAGTGAGAAACACAACCTGAGAGATCACAGAAATTAAAGGCAATGAAAAATCTGGGTTTTTTAATCCAAGAACAGTTAATGTGAGATCACTACCTTCCATAAAAATAATAAATGCTTTTTATTTTATTCCAAACAGGAAAAAAAAAACAGGTTTCTGAAATTTAAAAGTAGTCAATAGGGACAATAGCAGCCAAGAGAAAGGAAGAGAATTTCATAACTAAGAAAACATCCATAATTTCAGAAACATCAAAGTATGTATCGCTAATGGACACTCCCAGCCTAAAAGCTAAGAACTTACTTTCGCATATCTTTAAGGCTTAGAACTTACTTTTGCATATCTTTCCTTCCAATTCTTGGACAATAGTGAAGTTTTCTTTATTATTCAGAATGAATTAGCTGAGCAGACCCTCCAGGCACATAATGGACTTGTAAAATTATTTCCTTTCCATGCTCAGATAAGCAGATCTTAAGAGGAGAGAACACTGAAATTTTCCTATGCTTTCTAGCTTCTGAAAGAGTTGTACTTCATGTTTCTCAGAGAATGAGGAGGCATGACATGAAGGACCTAGTAAGAGCCTGAAGATAATATTCTCCTTTTTCATCAAAGCTATTTCACAAGGATATTTGACTCACAAGAGAAACAGCATTTTCAACATATATCCCATGTACTATCCAAGATTTTACCTTCAGGAGATTTTAATCCAGCAGTTAGATTTTTTGTCTGATGTCCATTTAGGTTCCACTTCGTAATAGGTTCTTTTTTTTAGCACCACACAGCTTTGGCCATGCTCCAAAGATTTTTTAAGAATTCAATGGACTGCTATATAGTAAATGTATGCAGAAATTACTGTCAATCATGTGGGCAGCTACCAAGCCTCACTGTGATTGGAACTAATAACTATTACCAAGATATGATAATTTCATTTAAAATTAGCAAACCATCTGGTGTCTTTATATCTTGTTGTAACACAGTGTCATAGTTTTACTCAATCCACTCTCATTAAAACAAGACAAAAGTAGCTAAGGATAAACATACACACAGATGATAAATTTATCCTCTCAATTATCTTTGTGCAACCCCTATCCCCAGAACTCATACCCTCTTAGATTTTTGAAGTATAAGAGTACTACTTAAATCTAATCTGATCTCCTGTATAATGAAGGCTATCTCTTTCACTGAGTAACCTCCAAATCAAAAGAACAAGATGCTTGTGCTATGCTGCATCTATCTTCCTCATAAGGGCTGCCTTTGATGGATGAATCCAACCCACTCACAGATAAGTTATACCAGTGGTTAATGACTCTCACTCTTAAAAATATGCACCTTATTTCTAGTCTGAATTTCCCTAACTTCAGCTATGAAACATTGGATCTCATTATGCCTTTTTCTGCTAGATTAGTGAGTCATCTACTGTCAAAAGTCTCATTCCCATTAAGGCACTTGCAAACCATGATCAAGTCACCTCTTAACCTTCTCTTCAGCAGATTAAACAGACAGATCTTTAGTCTCTAACTGCAATGGTTATTTTCAGACCTACAGTCATTCTTTCACCTTTAATGAACCCTTTCCAATTTTAAGCATATTTTCAAAGTGTGATGACCAGAACAGGACACAAAAGTTCATCATTATTTTCCTTAATGCCATACAAAATGGCACTTCCTACTTGATATTCAGTTATCTGTATATAAGAGAATATAATATATATAATTTAAAACTGTTTTATCAGAGTTGTGTGTTTAAGTGCTTTTTGTATTTTTTAGCATTCTCTATGAGATATTAAATTCTAGCAGAACCTTGTAATGCAGTTCCACTTAAAGTGTTATTTTAAAATATTTTCTTGCATATTTATCCTTTTTTTTGTAACAAAATTACATTCCTGAAGTAATAGCTTTTGCTGACTAGAAGTATGTTTTAAAAACACTCAAATGCAGATATACTAAGTTGACCAAAATTATAGTACTTTATTTTCTGATAACTCTACATCATTAGGCAAAAATACCTAATTTTGCCAGGAAGTTCATGATTAAAGACTGTATATATACATATATGTTTTGGTTTATCTTCCATGGAATACACATGTAATTAACTACATTCCTTACACAGGCAGCTCTAGTGAATAGCATTTATATTAGGAAAACCCTAATGTTCTCCTGGAGATTGCTTCAGACACTGAATGAATCAAATGGGATTGTATAGTTTTCATTTACTTTCCTGTTTGAGCATGATTTTCACTTATTGATAATCTGCAAGAATGGATGTAGCTACATCTAATGCTTAAGTTTAAAATAATTTCATTAGGTAAATAATAACCATTAATAATAAAAAATATTAAAAGTAGTAGCAAATAATATAAACCAATTTTCTACCAGACGAGATAATAAAAAACAGAAAAATATTTCAAATCAGTTGGTTCCAAGTTGGAACAGTTCTTAATTATTGGTTCAGTTTCATGTCATAAAACACTTGCTAATAATGACAATAATCCAGAAAATATATGTGTTCAATAGACAAAACTTTAATTTGACCCTAATTTGAATAAATAAATCCTATGTCTTCTTATGGTTTCTCTTTTTCACTCATAGTGAAGGAGGAAAATTCATTAATGTAAAAAAAAGTAATGTTAAATTATGTGCTCTGACATCCTAAATCTGTTGTGTGTCTAGGTTTTAAGTCTATGGTCATTCAACTGCAGCTAAAAATCTTCAATGAAGGATGTGAAAATGTTACTTCATTAGACGTAATGCCTCTTTAGATCTTGGATACAATACATTAGAAAATTACAAAATATATCTGGACAAACATAAACAGAAGAAAAAAGAGAACAGAAAGGAATAATTCTGCAGAAAAGGGAGTACTAAATTAACATGCAGAGGGAAGAAATGCACAAAAAGAGGAATAGTCTCTGTGTACTTAGAAATTTAGAACACCCACATTAGAAGTATTAAAAAAAAAAAAAGTGAATCAGAAAATTAAGGATGAGAAGGAAAACTAAAAATTTAAAGTTGCTTCCTAATATTTCCACAGTGTCCACAGTTTGAATGTAAAATATAATTAGATCAAAATTTTCTGCCATACTAAAATTAAGTTAAATCCCTATAGTGTTTTCTGGTGGTTCAATAAATACCTTCTATTCTTTATGTCTTGAGACAAAAATAATTTTGACTCTTTTAAAATACTCAGTCTTTAAACTTTCAATGTTGTTACTTTTAACTACTTCACATATTTCCAGACACAAAGAGATCTCTGATTGATTAGTTACTTCTATCAATTTAATCAGTTCCTTTTCCAATGAGTATTCTGATCAGAACATTCCCAATGCGTGGTTTAAGTTAAACAGCCTGAAGCATTCTGAGATAATGGAGTTGAATGATTTTTATTTCCAAGCAGAATCAGAAAACCTTAGAAATTATTTATTTTTTAAATTAAAACTATTTGTACACTTTGATTAGGTACAAGGTCTATGGTCATAAGATGAAATAGAGATTATTTAGCCTTGATATGTAAACAAATCTAGTGCTCTTTAAATTTCATGAGAGAAACTGAGCACACAGTCTTAAATTTCTGAACCAGTTTAAAAGCTATCTTGGAACTTAGTTTGCTGTTTAAAAATGCCAATGTGACAGCCAAAGCAGAGCTTTTGGTGATAGCACAATAATTCTTAAAACTAGACTGTACTATCCAAAAAAGTCTTCAGAAATTACCAAAGATCAGGCAAATATTGTTAAATACCTCTCCAGAAGATCTGAGATACTGTGCTATCCAACATCAGGAGTTAGAGAACAAACCATCTTCTCTCCTTTCATAAATATTTATCACTAATTTGAGTCTGCTTAAATGCCTGATGAATCAAGACAAGAAATATTTTCCTCTAATTCAGTATCTCACTTCACTATATTTCAAATTTAATTATCTTAGTAGCAGGTTAAGAGGAACAGAAAAACTGGGATAATCTGAGCTTTTTACATGAACCCAAAATTTCATTCAAAAGTTTTTCAAAATTATGAAGTCCAAAAAGTTTTCCTCAGTACAGCCATTAATATCCTTAGTGTTTCTTGAGTAAAGACTACACTTAGGTATAATGCTGTCGAATTAAACTAAGTTTTAATATGACAAATTTTAATCTTGTAAACAGCTATAGCAGATCTGAGGAAAGTACTCAGCTTTCTTCACGTACTTCACTATTATAAATTCAATTTATTAATAGAAAATAATCAAAAAGACTTTTTCTTTTCTGTGAGAGATTTTTCATTTGATTCCTTTGCTATCTTTTTAATAAAAAAACAAAACAAAACAAAACAAAACAAAAATGTTTCCACTTGTTTTTCACAGCATCAGAAATCGTAGTAGTTGCCCTTCAGCAAGGTGCAAAACTTCCCCCCCCGCAAAATCAGGTTATAACATCTTCTCAAACAGAATATAAAACTTACCTTGAAAAAAGTCATGGTTGCTCCATCTTCAACTGCCCCATACTCTATCTTTGTCTGCTTGGCCAAGTCGTCAGCAGAATCAATAGGGGATTCCATACGTTCCACTGTCAGAAAGGCGGCTAGGTTAGCAGTGTACGAGGAAATGATGATAAGTGTGAAAAACCACCAAATGCCTCCCACTATCCTGGTGGAGAGGGCTTTAGGCATGAGCTCAGAACCTAACGAAAACCAGGGGAGAAAGGTGAAACGGATGCACAGAAAACAATTAATAAGTGTTCAGCACTTTTTGCCACAGTGGGGAAATGGAATCACTGTGCAAAAAAATCTTTAAGCTACAGGTTTAGATGTACTGCTTGTACAAACAGTCACAACTGAAATGCAAAATAACTGGTTAAATTTATAAAGACATAGCTTTTTGGAGCTGTGGGAATCAAAATATAGTAACGGGAGATTCAGTGATCAGTGCAATTTTAAAATTTCTAAACATATATATAAAAATACAAATACTAAAAAAGCAGTTACTTCAACTTGCTTTCCAGAAAAAATAAGCAGTTGATGAAGGTACCAGGTGTGAAATAGAGGATTTCATATCTGAAAAACAAAATTTTAAATCTATTATAAATATGCTTTTAAGTTTTGTCATTTGCATTGCTGCAAAGGATAGTTTATTAAATGTTGAAATAAAAAAATTAACATCTCCCATCCCTATGTTTAGCCCCACAATTTCATATAAATATGAGTGGCTATGCTACACACTTCAATTTAATAGAATAGCAATAAAAATATTGGACTTCTATGCATAAACTAGATAAAGATAGATTATAATGCATTGCTGGAGTTGCCTGCTCATGGCACTAAAGAATGGAGGGAGAGACAGACACTGTATAGTAATTTTCATAATTTTTAATGCAAATTTAGAGCCTAATGAGACAAATTGAAGCACATAAACTCCTCTTGTGACTAATTACAAAAAATAGGAATAAATTAAATTCACTGTAATATACAATTACAAATATTTATTATAAATGAGCATATATGGATTTTTTTCCATAATGTTATAATTGAATGAAATAAAATTTCTAATGATGTCAAATAAACAATTTCAAGCTTCATTTTAAGAACTTTATGTAAGGTCTTTTAGAAGTATCTGGAAACTTGTTTTCAAGGAAACAGTTTCATCATATCCACTACACCATTGTACCGAAACAACCCCTTTTTGTTAATCGCTTACTGTGTTTGCTCTTATATCTCCTGGGTAAAATGGAATGAAGGCAAGATGGACTATTTTATTCCTGTTAAATTTTTGCTTATATTGAATTAATTAAGGAACTGGTCCAGCAAGGTAACACATCTTCATATAGGTGAAAGATTATGTCAAACTTCCAAACTCAATGTGAAAAAAAGAACAGAAAGGCTAGGGAGGGAGGGAGGAAGAAAACAAAAGAAAAGGAAAAAAAGAAGTGGTATCGTAACTGGACTACTGTATTCAAAAACAGCCCATCTTACCCTGCAGTTCATCTTACCCTTGCTGTTTCAAACAAAAAAGGCTGACAGACTTGGACATGACAGCCAACTCCAGCGCCAGACTCTGCCTAGAATTCTGCAAGGGAAAAAGTAAAAAAGTACCTGTCTGATGGAGTTGCTCCTAGGCCCTGTTAGTCAGACACTTAGACACCATAACACTAAGAGATTTCCCAACAAGCCCACTACCATTAACTCTTTTTAATTGCTCTCATTTAATTTTAAAAACCAACACCAGTAAAGTCAGACAGGACTGGAAAGAAGAGGAGAGTGGAGACATTCGCCGCAGTTACCCCAGTTCCCACGAGCTCGGACCTTACCAAGGACTGAAAGCGAGTGCCACCTGGGCCCATGAAACAGAGCCTGGTCAGGGGCTGACTGTCATGTACCCAAGGTAACGTCATGTCCAGCACTATATCCCACAGTTTCCTGGGAGTGAGAGGTGCCAGCAAGACATGGATGAGTTTCCTCTATCATGTATCCTCCAGCACTAAGCAAATCTTTTGTAAAGAAGCAGCACTTAATACGTTGATATGAGTATTAAGAGAGTTTCTATATTATTTCTAAAGGAAAGTTATTGCTATTAGGTGAGAACTTCCATGATTGTCTGAAACCCTACTTTTAGATGACTTTAGGTTTTTGAGATTTTTTTTAAAGCAATCATCAAAATCAAGACTGATACTGCATCCTTAAAATGGTGCCTTTAAGGTTTATTAAAGGATGAACTGAGTAAAGGTAAAACAATAGAAGGCAAGGACAGAGGGTCAGTCTTAATTCTGAAAAACTAGTTTTCCTTCAAGGAAAACTATTATCCTCCAAGTACATCTTTTTAAACGAAGGGGTTTTTTTCTTATTTTGATTCTCAAAAACAATGTTTAGATGTTACGGACTAAAATACCTTTTTCTCGCAAAAAGATGATACAAAAATCTAAATTGCTTTTTCCATCATAGAAGCATAAAGACACATAAAACTCAGCACTGATAGAGGTTCTGACAATCCTGAGAACTGTGAATGGAATTCAAAATACCTTATTTCATTCAGCATCCATTTTTTTTATAGCTTCCTTAAAAGCAATCATTATCTTACAAACATGTATTTGGTAATTGTGTTTCAACTATATAACTCCTTGATATATATATTGACAACTGAGTTGATAGTAAACACTTAGCCAACTATAGATGTATTTTTTATTTCTGATTTGAAATCCTGATTTCTTTTTACCCATTAATTCATGTTTGTCTGAGGCATTAGAGGCTTTTTAAGCCTACAACCTGATATATGACAGAATATTTACTGCTGTTACAGGAAAGCTTCATTAAATCAAGCTCAAGTATATCTATTAAAACAACTCTACCAATATGTAATTGTTCCTGCCAACATTTTCTATGATTTTTGGGGGGGGATATGTAATGGTTATTTTTCCAGAAAGAAAAGCCATTCCTTTTAATGGCTCTTTAATAGGACTAACAATCTTCTGTATTACACTATGCAGCCCAGTGAAATGTCAGAGCAAAAAATGAACCTGTGCTATTCACCTGTGTCTGATATTATATGACTGTGTTCAAATCCTTAAGGAAAAGGGCAATAAAATGGTGATATATTTTTATGGATCTATATATTTGGTATGCTTTCAAAATAAGAGGAATATGGCAAGAAAATTACATATTTTAAGAGTGTGCTTAAGCATTTTACTAAGACAGTTATAGTTAAAACTGGATGTTGGTTTTACTCTGAGCAATATGACTACACAGCTGCCAATTTTATTGTCAGCAATGGCATCAGTTTCTCAGTGCATGGATTGTTGAATATAGATATTTTATTTAAATCTTTAAGAATGGTCATTCTGATTTTTAAAATATAAATTATGGCTGGACAGGATTAAATCTCCTATATTATCTTATTTTATAAGTTCTAGCTACTAGATAAAATCTTTCTGTAGTTGAAAGGTTTCTAGACCAAAACTTAAAAAAATATAGATTTTTACATTACAGTCTTATGTGATGAAGCTATACCCATTTTTAGGTTGTTTAAATTGAGGGTTTTTAGGTAATTGACATATTAACTCATTTAATTATGCAGTTAAGGTTTCCTCTTTAGGAAATAAACTGTATGGCTATGCTGTACTTTTCTTAAGTCTTAAATTCTTTATCTGTGTTCAGACTAATATGTAAAGTGTTGGGAATGACTGGATAGTCATAAAAAAGCTGGTTTATGGCTACATGCACAGAGGCACCCATGCAAGTGACTTGCACCAAGAACTGTTACCCCCAGCAAAAAGTGGGACATGGTGCCCAACAGAAAGAGCAGACTGAGTCGTATACCTTGCTGCATGAGAGCTCCAACTCCAAACCAGAAACTATTTAGTAAGGTAAAATTGTTTTCCACCACGTCTGAATCAGGGTTGCAAGGATGTGGATTATACCACTCATAGGGGCTAAACCTGTGGTAATTGACAGAAAAAAGAGAACAGATTTAAAATGCAGTCATTACAAAGTCTATCCAGCAAATCTGCTGCAAAAGAAAAAGAAAAACAAGAGAGGTTATAAAGAAAATAGTGATTGAAAGTTTTTACAGTGTGATTGCATTTTACTTAACAACAATATAAAAAGAAAGAGCAATACTGAAGATTAACATTCTTAACTGTTGCTGATACTGATAAAGTTGCATACAGATTGGCTCTGAAAGTTTCCAAGTGCCACCTGCAAACATCAAAGCACTTGCTCTTCTATTGACACCAACAGAATTCCAGACAATTGGTTCCGTTTAGGATTAGGTTCTTATAACCACTCTGTCAGTATTTTGCATCTTGAAAGAAAATTAATTTGTGTTAAATCACAGAAATTAACTAGGAAAAAATACAACAGGCAAAATGCTTTTTTCTCACCAAAATTACAAATAATGAATATAACATAAAATAAATAGTTAGAAGTAAAAGTGACATTTTTAATCACCAAACATTACAATTCACAGAAAAAAAAGTACTGTAGCAAATTAAACTAATTGCATCCTGTCCTGTGAGGTGCACAGTAGCATCCCTGGAAAGGTTTTCCAAAAGAAGCTGGGGACACTCACAAGCACCTTGCAGGGCCAGGCTCTGAGAAAAAAAAAAAAAAAAAGAAAAAGAAAAAGATAAACACAAGGGAAAAGACAGTTTAATTAATTATCTCAAAAACAGATAGAACAGAGATAGTAGAAAGATGCCTGAGTCTGGCAATAGATTACAAGCAGATTATATACAATCAATCTGTTTTAATTCATGGCTTTGCAATTGCTGTGCATTATGACGAGTTCATACCTAAATGCTATTTTATCAATTGTAGCTAAAACAAGCAAATATGTCTAGATAAATTATTCTCTGTTACAATTTCTTTTGTAAAAAATAATATTTTCAGTTCTCTCTTCCTCAAGGTACTTTTGGAGAACTTTAAATTTTAATTGCAATGTGCAGGGTTATTCTAATAATTTAAGAGTTTTAATCACCATGCCTGGACTTGGAGTCACACTGTTGAGAGGGACTTTTATGCTTAAATCATGTCTTCAAATCTTGGATAATGAATACAAGGGCAATATATGCATGTACATTTGAGTGAAAAAAATGAAAATCAAAACACAGTAGAATGGAACTAGCACAAGAATCCAGCACAATAATTTTTTAAATTACAGATTTTAATTATTAAATTAATATTAACATATTTTCATAATTTCTCAAATCATTAAAGCCACTCTGTTAAAAACCCTTGGATAGGCAGCCTTTATGAAAGAACTTTTTGATGCATTTTATAATCAAAGCTATCTGAATAACTCATCTGTCACTTTGAAAAATAGAATTTTCTTCACAATAATATTTCAAACACATTATAATACAGAAAATCAAATGTTCCACTTTGAAGCTCTTAATGTAATGTTAAAGCACCTCTCATCTTAAAAGTGTCTACTTGACAAAGAACTGTTTCATTTGGATCTCCAAAGTAATACTGATAATGCTGTGTAAAAATGTTGATTGGCTTCTAATTAAACATTGTGACCTGAATTCTTCTATTACTTAACAGTAAAACTAGATCAGAAGTTTACTGTCTCATTAAAAATCTAAGTATCTTTCATGTCATGTTTTCGTCAATCCAACAAAACCTGGAAACCAAGCACCCAGTGAAACTGAAGCAGGTATTTACACTCTCTTGCTGAGAGATGCTTATTTGAAGATTAAATTGGAAAACACCTTTTTCATGTGAGGATAATGTTTCCTAGACAAAGCAAATATATTTTTTATTTAAATATATATTTTCAAGTGTTATTTACAGTGATTGTGACATTACTGAACAATTGAAAACATAACTTGGTAGTTTTACCTTTTTGTTCTGATGGTTTATGTTATTTAAGAATTTTATATTATTTTGAAGCACAGAAGAATTGTCCATAGCTGCAAAAAAAAGGAGGAAACAACCTACAAGATATACAAGATGGCTTTAGGAAAATGAAACAATGCAATCTGAGTCATATAGTTTTAGAATTCTCTACTTATGAAGTAAGGAAAATTAATACTGGTTTATTATGGATAAATACGGTTATTCCTCATTTTAAGGATGATCTATGATATTAGGTTGTCCAGTGTAAGAATCTTAAGGTATGGATCCTTTAAACAATCTTTTGTATGTACTATATATGTGTATAAGTTTCATGCTGTTTAGCCTATTGCAATAAATATTCACAAATCACAGAGTTATAGGTTCACCTAGCAGGTTTTATAAGCCAGGATCCCGCTCAGGGCAATGTCCGTTATTTCAAAAGGGACTGTTCAGTCAGGTCTCAAAAACACACAAAGACAAGAATTCCACAAATTCTTGGGAAAATGATTCCCATGTTTAGTTACCATAACAACTATTTTTTTTTCTTTAAGTCAGGCTAGAAACTCCCTTGATTCCAAGTATAAAGAACACCACCTTTTTATCAGCTTCTCTTATTATAAAGTGACTGTTAGGAAAATTCCTTCTGCCTGATCCCAGAACTGCTCGCAGTATTTAAATGTGGTATAGTAAATGATATTATGAGAATAATCACTTTCCTTGATTAATGGACTACCTTCCTACTAATTTAAATGCATAACACTTGCTCAATCAAGAACAAGCATAAAGCAAAAAGAGAATTTTAGTGAACAGATGCAATTTTGAAGATTGATTTTTCTGACCACTGATAACAGGTACTCTTTCCACTTACCCATTTCTATTACTGTTTATTCTAACATTTCAGATACAGTCTCTTAATCTCTAACACCTTCAGGTATCTAAAATACTTGGAAAAATTAGACTATAAATGAAATTTACAAGACCTGAGTTTCAGTTTTCCTAATTGCTGTTACCCACCAAAAAGGTACAAGTACTCTCCAGAAATTATTGGCTAGTGCAGGTAATATTTAAAAGTCAGCTATCTCAGCAATCCACAGGCAGAAAAGATTTGTGTTAAATTTAATTCCACTTTAGGAATATATTATGATATTAGAAATTAAAATTAGTATTCTCAATGATCAGACAGACTTACTTCAGAACTGCAAATTATTTGAGACAGACTATAATTTATTATACTCTGTATTCACATAGCATTTGAAATAATAGTGTAGAAGCCCAGAAGCCAAGGGATCTTATGTGTGTCTCTCAAACACCTATAGCTGAATAGCCATGGAGCCAACCAAGGTAAGAACATGTTATGTTGTGGTAAAGAACGTGGCTGGAGAAGGAGAACATTGGAGATATAGCTGCAATTTTTTTTATTTTTTTATTTTTTTGACAAATTTTTTCGTTCTGGCTCCTGGAAATAAGCACAACACAGTACAGCTCAAGCACAGACGAATTTTTTTGTTCTGGCTCCTGGAAATAAGCACAACACAGTACAGCTCAAGCACAGGACAGAGGTATAAAAGGAGCCATGGACTACTGATCAAAGGCTGACCCAGTACAGATGGATCAAGACTACCAAAGTCCTCCAAAGCCCTCAAACCTATTTTCAGCAAGGTCTGGAAGAACAATCTGCATCTGATTACTAATTTGTATAGAAAGCAAGAAACTTCTTTCCAGGGTGGGGAAATATAGCTATAAAAAGGTACCTCCATGAAGCCCAGATGGTGCCCACAGGACCCTGGACACCCCAGCAGCTGGATCAGTGCTGGAGCCAGGACTAGTGATCTTTTTAGGCTCCTCGAGCCTGTTTACTTCAGAACCTGTCATAACATTAATTGTGATCTACTGCTAGCACTTCTGCTTCTCTTTTTATTTAGGAGCTTGATTTTGTGCACTCTTGGCACAGGGAGTCTTGTGATGGTGTGACAAGATTCTGTTAATTCTTGACCTGCAGGCACCCACTCTTCCCTTCCAGTGTCCAGTTTGAGACAAACTCAGACACATGACTTATTCTGGATATACTAGAACAGTTCCTACAGTTTTGCTCTGTAAATAAAACAGTCTCCTAGAGAGCCATGGGACTCAGCCTAGATGAGCTTAGATGTGTATTTGTGTACCCACTACACTCAGAGCAGTACACACTGCAGTACTGTCACACACTGACTGCTGCTTTCAGTTGCTTTCCTAAAGGGTGTGGTCCAGCATGTTCTATATAAATCACCTCAATTAAAAGCTGTTGAAAATGTGTAAAGGGTACTCTCTACCAATTTCAATAATTGTCAAATCAAAATCTGTCAGTTCATCTCTGATGATAGTATGAAAATAGTGTTCTGTTTTGAAAGCAAATTAATAGATATTCTTAATACAGACTGTAATATCTGGAGGTAAAGATATTTTTAATTTAAGCTGTATCTTCTGGAGAGCAATGCAACTTGTTAAAAAGAGCAGAAAACCCCAAACTGCAATTTAGAGAGAAGAGAAAATGGACTAGTGGAGTATATTTTTAATTGAATTTTCATTATACCAAAACACATCCACCTAGGAATATTACACAGAACTCAATTTAAACCAGTAGGGCTATTCCTTGTGGGAAAAAGGTGTCTTGAACCCATTAATAATATATACAGGCCATTCAAGTTCTAGGTGTTGCTTTCAGATATTTGCTAAACAGGTATCAGGTATTGTCATTCAATCATATTCAGCATGATACCTGTTAAATTTTTGTAGAGAACTTTTCCAGATGGTCTGAACCAGCTTTTTTATTTTTCTTTTTTTTAAAATTAATTTATTATTATTTGTTATTTTTCTTTTGTGCCTCGGGATGAAAAAACCAAAACACAAAGTATTTCTAAAACACAGGTTGATACTGAATATTTAGCTAAAAATCCATAAGAGTTATCAGCTACCAGTATAGCACTTGGATTTCAATTATTATTTAAAAATCCATACTGACAAAATTTTTCATCCTTATCTCTGACATGATACTGCTTTCTGTTCTGACCCAAGCAGAAGTTACGTAACAACTATGGAAAGGCTAAGAAAAATCTGTGTT